GTCGATGGGATTTGAACACCCAACCTACCACTTGGGGGGTTGACAACCTGACCACTTCACTAGGTCGCCACACCCCGTGCTAAATCTTTTTGTTTTAAGTAGCTACTGTGTTTTACTTAGTAAAATAATGAGTATTTAGCAATAAAAAAAAATTATTTAATTTAGTTATATCCTAGTGATAAATACTTTTAAGGATATAAAAGTAGGCCGCCTATATGTAAAATTTTATGAGGAACAATTTTACTTAGGCAGCCAAGATAGGTTTACTTAGTAATAATTTGAGAAAGGAGCAGTTTTGTTTAGAAAGGATTTGCTACAAGTGATCGTCGGAAAGAGTTAGTGGTTTCTTCAAATATTAAAAAGCATTGAAACAAGTTCAGTTAGTAGTATTGAAGATTTTTCTGAAGAATTTTTAATTCCTTTAAAATTCATATAATGATATTTAATGAAATGTTAAACCTATTATTAAAATTTTATTTGGCAGCCTATTCTCAATATTCATTCCAGATATTATTTAGTGATAATAAAGATAAAAATTCAATATTAATTAATCCATTCAGAAATCAATTTAGCTGTTTGCAAATTGGTTCAAAATATTTGGGTCAACTATATTAATTTGACATATAAGAAGCTCTTTTATAATGGTGAATTTTATTAATCAAGATAGAGTTTCTTATAATACATATGTTGGCCAAATACAATATTTTATTAAACATATATTTAATATTAATAATAATGAATTCAAACATTATCTAGCATTTGTGTACTGATATAAATCTGCATTTAATAGTTTTACAAAGTTCTATTTTGGAATAAATAAGGAAGAAAAATAATTATGCAATATTGAACTTTGGACTAAAGACTTTTTTCTAATTAGTCATAATTGTTTAATATTAGTTCATTAAATTTTAAACTAATTTGTATCTGAATCTTATAAACTAGCATACAAAAAAGGTTCAAAAGAATATATTTCTGTCATACTAATTAATAAAAAAATTCATATGTAATTTGTATATATAAAATTGTCAAATTTATATAAAATTTTAATAATTTTAGTTTTGTATATATTTAATTAAACAGTATATAATTGGTTTGATCTGCCACTTAATAATCTTAATTTTATTAGAATTCAGAAGTCAAATTTAAATCAAAATTTTGAACTAATCATATTAAAATTCGACAGTTAAATTTATGTCAAAATTTTGATAAACTTCTTATATTTACAGCACCAGTAATATCTATTGCTATCATTTTATTCTTTGATCATTAAATAACCTAGATATTTATTTTGTCTTTTCTTTTTTGAAATCATATGACTTCACAAATTTCTTTTATTTTTATTTTTTTTATTTTTTTTTTATATAGTAAAATATAAGGGAGGTGGGGGTATTGTGGTCAAGTTAAAGTTTCTACTAACAAAACTTTTTATTGAACAGTTAGATTTTTATATAATAATAACTATTTAAACTATACTCAATATAGAATAGAAATACCTTAAAAAGATCTTCATTCAATAAACATTTTTAGAAAATAAATGGTTAGTACGCAAAAGATATAAAAAGCGATTTTCAGGAGGGAGGGGGGTATTGTGGCCAAATTTAGATCGTACACTTTTTTATCGCATACTACTCATCCTTGTAATGGTAGTTCAAAGCTATAACTTATACTTTATTGTATGAATACAGGATGATCTAGAACATGAAATATGACACCCATTTTTTTTATGCCGTTTTTTTTTTCTTACAGCCTTCTATTTCTTGCTTTTTTCTTTCTCGTTCTTCTTTTTTTTTAATTGCCAATTCCTTTTTTTTGTTAGCTTCCATGATTTTTCTGTTCGCTTTTTTGTTCGCTGCTTTTAGCTGTTGCCAGCTTTCTTCAGAAGTAAGAAGCCGCCCAAACGGAAGAGTTTTTCTTTTTTTAGAGGAAGGTGACTCCGGATCTAAAGATGCTTCAGCATGCGAAACTCGAGGAACTGGGTACTTAAGAGCAGATCATAGGGAGCATGTTTCAGGATTCTTATAAGTTTCTAACTCTTCTTTCATTGCTGCAAACTGAAGTTTTAACATTTTATTTTCATTCTTGAGAAAATCATTTTCACTTAAAAGAATCTTATTTTCTTTTTCTAATAGGATGGTATTTGAACGAGTAAGGCGAAGCTGATGTGTGTAAGTAGATAATTGTGAAAGCGGCTCATTCAATTGTGTAGAAGGTTGGTTATCTGAAGAGGATGGTGGTGACTCAGCCGGTTGTGCAAGTGGTTGACTATTTGAAGAAACAACATCAAATCGTTCCGTTGCTAAAGAAGGGTTTAAGCGATCTGGACTAATAGCTTCAGGATTAAATAGCCATATTTCTGTACTTTTGTAGGCGTTGCAAATTGCTGATAGTGTATAGGTTTCGAGGAAAGCTGGGCCAAGAACTCGTGCAAAAGTATGCTTTGTTACTACCTTACCGTTATTATATTTATATTTATCACACTCTTTAGCATATTCATTTTTTAATTTGGCGAAAGGGATTTCAGAAGGTTGTAAAACATGCATTGTATGGGGTGGCAACGCATAAAGAAGGATTCCATTTTGGCGGCAGAAATCAACACTCGTATAGCTTATGTGGCTCTTGTGACCATCAAGCATCAGCAAGACTGGACGAGCAGGTGGGATTGAATTGTTAAAATGGGTAAGATACATTTGGAAAAGCTCCTTGCGCATATATCCAGTACTTGTAAATCCCATTACAGTCCCTGGAGGCGCACCCTCTAACAAACCAGAGATTACACAAACACCTTTATAGATAATTAAAGGTGGAATGTGTGACCCAGCAGCTGAAATTGTAGGGGCAACAGAAATGTGTTTGTGTGAATTTCCATGCGCAACTTTATGGACTTGGCATGCACCTTTTTTCGCGATGACCTTTTCCAACTTGGGCACAAGAACAAACCCAGTTTCATCCATGTTCCAAATTTGCATAGAGGTAAGTAAATGTTCATCAATTATTTGTTTGAGCTTATCAAAATGGTTTTTAACAACAACTGGATTTGCTTTTTGTGCTCGAGCTTCTGACAACTCTTGGAGAACGCGAAATGAAAGCTCAGTATGATCTTTCATAAAGCGTCTCCACCAATCTCGGCCTGGCCCCTTGTCACCAAATGGGTGTGGCCTTTTGTTACCCCACATTATTTCCATAACACAATGGTTGACACCAGACCGGGTTAAACCAAATCCAAGCTTTTGCATGTTAATGCAATACCCGACGAGTTGATTTTCTTCTTGTTCAGTTAAAACGGTAGGTGGGCCCCAGCGTTTAGGAGGATCATTATTTTTTATGGCGCGGCGAAAAGTGGTTCTAGGAATTTCATAGGCATTTGCTATACCATTTACACTAGGGTGTTTAAGACTAGTGGTAGAATTTTTATGCTCATTAAGCGCCGCAAGAATTGTTTTACGTCGATTATTTTCGAGCTCAAGTTTATTACTGTTAGAAACTTTTGGCATTTTATTTAATTCTAGAATATTAAATGACAATTAACTTGATTATTCGATTAGGCTTTTTTACACTTTAAATAAAAGTAACTATTACATTTAATGGTTATGAAACTTAATTATGTAACGTATTAGTTTTTATTATAGTACTGCGTAATATGTGCTTCAAAAAGGAACGTTACAAACTCTCAACCTCTTAACAATAAATTTAAAAAAACTTGACTTTTAAATAAAATAACACACATCAGATCGTTTATTTTTTTATTTGTTATTATCGCGTCAATTTTGTTCGCGTACTGCTAATCTAAATTTTTTATTAAGACTAATCAAATTTTTATACAGCGAAGCTTGAAGATTTTATGTGCATAATATCTTTAACAAAACAGTCAAAAGAATGATAATCAGTTGTATCCATGTGTTAATGGGTATAATTGCCGGCAAAACACTTGGTACTTTGATTAAAAAATTGCAGTTTTGTAGTTTTGTCACAAGTATTACTATCAAAAGTCTATAAATTATTTATTAAAGTTTCACAAAGTATGATATTATGTAAGGTTTACCATTATGGATAACTTTTTTTAACGATTAACTTAGTGTAGAAATCTGTTACATAGTTCTTTTATTTGACTTTAAAATAAAGAATTTTTATAAATCGCTTAAGTGGCGATATCTCGTGATACAGCGGTTGGAATTAGATGAATTTTATACTATTCGATTCGTCTCATCGAGACGAATCGAATGGTACCAAATTCACCTGATTCTAATCACTAGATCATGAGATATATCGATTGGCCACAATACCCCCCCTGGTCACAATACCCCTACTTCCCTTAAATAACAGAATAAAAATAATAGAATAAAGAAACATATAATAAATAATTATGAAAAAAAAAATATTAATCATATAAGGTAAAAACAGAATGAGTATTATGAGTATTATTAAATATACAAAATAAGTAAAAATATTGTTAAGTTTATATAATTTTTTATATGATTAGTTGTTATCTAATATACTTCGATCATAAAATTTTTCTAAATTATTAGTAATTTATCAATTAGTTGCTAACTTAACAGACTTCTCAATTACACTATAGTGCTTTCTATAATTATTACTTGGGCAGATATAATTCGATAAATTGAATAGTTTATTTAATAGTATCTAAAGTACTATAATCAGTGATATATAATAATTGTATAGTATGCTAAATCAATACCAATATTAAATTAATATATTTCTGATTAATTATTTGAAACTACACAAAATAAATTTAACTATATATTATACAATTAATCATATTAATTACTTAACTATTAGTTAAATTAACTTTTGTAAATTATTATGATTAGATGTTAACTTTTGCAATAAGTCTTTTCTATAAATGATAAAATGCTAACATAATATTCTGGTCTTATAGGTATATAAACTTACTTTTAAATTATTTAGTATTCATATCATGACTGTATATATTCATAATTTACTTAACACATTTTATTTAACTATATTGCTAAAAATTCATTACTATTCTTTTGAATATTAACTAAACTATTAAAAGAAATCTATTTGATTACACTTCATATTTCATAGCTTTAAATTGAAATTATTTAATGCAATTGTCAATATCCTTATTTTCACTTGTTCATTCTTGTATTGTTTTCTGAAATAGTGATCCAAATCATTAGTTGAAAAATCAACTAGTTGACAACTTTCCAACTAGTTAATTTGAAAATTTTTAAAAACAACTAAACAACTAAATCATTAATTAGTTTAATTATAAGATATTCTGTCTGTTCAAGCTAACTCATACTAATTTCTTTTATTTGATTAGCTAATTAACAAATTTAGTTACATAATATAAAAGTTGATTAGTTGCAACTATAGTAGGCAACTAGTTGATTGACAAAATTTTTACCAACTTGGAACATTATTTTGAAGGTACTTGTTTGACACCAAGTATAAGATGTATTATATTATTTGCAATTTGCACATGTTTCATTATCTTTATTTCTTTTAAAACCAAATTCATCAAATATTAACATATATTTATTTTTAATGATTTATTAGCAGATTGAAAAAGATCATTAAGTGACTTAATAATTTTTTTTAATCTTTTAATAAATCATTAAAAAACCATTAAGTGACTTAATAATCTTTTTCAATCTTTTAATGAATCATTAAAAAATTATTAAGTTACTTAATGAATCTTAAAAAGGTTGAAAAGATTATTAAGTCACTTAATGGTCTTTTAATAAATCTTGTAAAGATTGAAAAAGATTATTAAGTCACTTAATGGTCTTTTAATGATTTATTAAAAGATTAAAAAAGATTGTTAAGTCACTTAACAGTCTTTTAATGATTCATTAAAAGATTAAAAAAAATTGTTAAGTTACTTAATGATCTTTTAATGAATTATTAAAAGATTAAAAAGATCATTAAGTCATTTAACAGTCTTTTAATAAATTATTAAAAGATTAAAAAAAATCATTTACTTAATAGTCTTTTAATGAATTATTAAAAGATTAAAAAAGATTATTAAGTTACTTAATAGTTTTTTAATAATTCATTAAAAAATTAAAAAAAATTGTTAAATGACGTAACAATCTTTTCAATTTTTTTAAGATGCATTAAAAGACTGTTAAGTGATTTAACAATCTTTTTTAATCTTTTAATGATTTATTAAAAAACTATTAAGTGAATTAATAATCTTTTATGATTCATATATATTTAAAAATCATTACTTAATAATTGGTAAATGTATATAAACCATGAAAGATTGTTAGTATTTGTAGTCGATTCAAATTTATCGATTTGACTAAGTCAATATTTAAAAATCAGCTTAGCTAGCTATGTTAGAGTTAATTAAACTTTGAAAGTTTTAGATATTTTTTTTTATTATAATTAATATAAAATAGACTAAGTTAATTTTTTGAAAACTTGGCTTAGCAAACTAAGGTTAATTTTTTTAAAAAAATCAGTTGACTAAGCCAGCTAAGCTGATTTTATTAACTAATACAAAATAAACTACAAATACTAATTTACTATTAATAAAGATAAATCAACTAGTTAGATATGATCTATGTATATGTATTAATCATTATGTTACTTAATGATCTTTAGTATTTGTAGTTGATTTTGCATTAGTTGATAAAATTAGCTTAGCCAACTTAGTTAGCCAATTTTTTTAAAAAAATCAACCTTAGCCTGCTAAGCCAAGTTTTCAAAAAATCAACTTAGTCAAGTCAATATTATAATAGATTATATTAAAAATTATAGTAACTAATCAAGTTTAGGCTAAATCACAGTATTTTTGGCATTACAGTAATCCAATATTACTAAAATAAAAAACTTATTGACAATTGACAATTATTTGGCTAATTTTTTTATCAGATAAAAACAGTTTTAAGATCATGTGCCTTTAATTAACTAATTAGGATTATCAACTTCAACTTAGTTAGCTAAGCTGATTTTTAAATATCAGCTAAGTTGAGTTAATAAATTTGGATTGACTACAAATACTCATTCATAACAATTAATAATATTTTGGCTTATTGAGGTTTTTTCCTAGATTGTGTTAATAATAATTCATACTGCCACTTGATTGCTACTTATACAACTAATCAGTAGCAATATAAATTATTATTATATTTATTATTATAAATTCTGAACCATCTGCTCATTACCTGAAATCTTTTTAATTGTTCAGTAATTTACCTAACTCTAAAAATTACTACATCTAGACTAAAGAGTTAAGTAATTTACCCAGTAACCAAAAAGATTTTAGATAATAAGCAGATATTCTAGAATTTATGATAATAGCTATAATGCAATCTAGGAAAAAACTTACTAATTCTTAATAAAATTATTATTACTTATTACCTATTACTTTAATTTATTACTTTAATTTATTACTAATTATTTGTTATATCAATTCAATTCAATTTATTTAATTGCAATTATATGAAATACATATTAATATTAATTACATAATTTAACTAACTCTTCTATGTTTTACATGTTCAACAATTCTTTTAATATTATTATTGCTGTATTCTGAAAGATGATTTGTCATAAAACATCTGACTTGGTCAATTGCTCTAACACCAACTTCACTAAATATATTAAATATATTTTGTGTCTTATGTGTTATCTGATAAAGATTGTCTATTGTCATTTGATAACTTATATAAAGTAACATTGTGTTGTATATTTGTATATGAGCTGCTCTATCCTTTACATTCTCATTTATTAATTTTCTTACTCAATTTTTAAAAACTTTAGCATAATTATACTATTTTCTAATTTCTATTGAATTAGACTTTTTTGATTGCTTTTTAGCTTGTTTTGCAATATTAAATAAATCAACTAAAATTTG